TCAGATGTTCTATTTCTTCTTTGTGTCACTTTTAGTCAACTGCTGTTTTCAAGGAATTTGTCCATCTCATCTGAGTTGTCAAATTTACTGTGCTAAAGTTGTTCACAATGTTATTTCCCTATGTTTTTATCGTCTGTAGGCTCTGTAGTGATGTGTCCCTTTTCATTCCTGACATTGGCCATTTGTGTTTTCTTGATCACTTGTTGTTGTTGTTAGTTGCCTCTGAGTTGATTGTGACTCACGGTGATCCCACGTGTGCCGAGTAGAATGACTCCACAGGGTTTCAAGTGTGGCTCATGGTGATCCCACGTGCGCTGAGTAGAATGACTCCACAGGGTTTCAAGTGTGACTCATGGTGATCCCACGTGTGCTGAGTAGAATGACTCTATAGGGTTTCAAGGCTATGACCTTTCAGAAGCAGATTGCCTGGCCTGTCTTCGAGGACTCTGGGTGGGTGTTTACTCACCCTGACTACCTTGATCACTCTTACTAAGGGTTTATTCATTTTATTTGATTTTTTTAAAGAACGAGTATTTGGCTTTGTTGTTCTTCTCATTGTAGATCTGCTTTCTATGTTATTGGGTTTTGCTCTTGTTTTTATTTTTTCCTTCCTTCTACTTTTGCTCTATCTAGTTTCTTGAGAGAGAAGTCCTGATCACTGATTTTCAGTCATTCACTTTTCTAATACATGCACTGGTAACTATACATTTCTTTATATCCTCTGCTTTAGCTGCATCCCACAAGTTTTGCTTTGTAGTTGCCAAAGGGGCAGAGAGGCTGCATCTTCTGACCTCTTCTAACCCCACAAGAGGAAGACAGAATCACTACCAGCAGCCCAAGGCCTATTCCTGAGAGGCCAGACATGCTGCCTCCCTCCAGCCCTTTCACCAACCCTGGCACCAGCCATTCTTCCTGCAACACCCACTACCTCTCTACTGGATTTGATAATTCACTGCAGTGGCCACACAGAACTCACAGATTATGGGGTTTATTAGGGAAGCAACAGGCTACAATTCAAGTTCAGAAATGCACTCAGTCTCTCGCAGCCAGCTGTCTCTCTCTCTCAGCAGTGCATCTCTCTCATCTCTCTCTCAGCAAGTGGATGTCTCTCATTAGTGCATTTCTCTCAGCAGCACATCTTTCTCAGTCAGCAGTCAGAGAGACTTCTTCTGCCTCTGGAAGGGCTACTTTTGAGCCTGGCAGAGTGACTACTAAACAATCCCCAAATCAGAAATCTATACACCTGAGAGACAGCGAACTTCCCAGAAGATTGCTTCATGCCGGTGCAACAGAGATACCCCAGGTGGATAACTTCTGCAATCAGGAGCTACTCAGTTGCTCACGGCAAATTCTACCACAGAGTTTACAAAGACTTACAGCTAGAAAAACCATACTATGTAATTTACTACATTGCAGTGGTATTTTCATTCTTGTTCAGTTTAACATATTTTCTGATTTGCATTATGATTTCATTTTGTCCATGACTTCTTTAGTAGTATACTGCTTAATTTCAAACATTTGGAAGCTTCCAGTTATCATTCTGCTACTGATTTCTAGTTTAATTTCTCTGTGGTCAAAGAAATATTCTGTTTGATTTTCATCCTTTTAAATTTGTTAAGACTTGCTTTATGGCCCAGGATATCATCTACTTTGGAAAATGTTCCATGTGTACTTGAGAAGATTGCATATTCTACAGCTATTGGCTATAGTTTCTAGAAATGTAAATTAGGTCAACTAGGTTAATAATCTTATTAAAAATTTCTGTCTTTACTGATTTCTGTCTACTTGCTCATTCAGTTACTTAGCGGCATCATTGAAATTTCCAAATATGCTTTTGGATTTGTCTATTTTTCCTTTTAGATATGTCTATTTTTATGTATTTTTGAACCTATGTTATTATATGTGTACAAATTTAGGATTTCGATTTCCTTTTCAACTGATCCGTTCGTCGTTATAAAGATCCCTCTTTATCGTTAGTGATACTTTTCACATTAAAGTCTACTTTGTCCAATATTAATGGAGTCACACCTGTTTCTTTTGATTACTGTTTGTATGGTTTCTCTTTTTTTATGCTTTTATTTTAAACCTATCTGTCTTCTTATCAGCCTTATTTTAAAAATAGTTCTCCAAGTTTTGGCATGACTGATCTAGATACTTACTGAAGGATAAATCTATTTTTAACTTCTCAAACAGTTTGCATATGTTTTATTTTGGGGAATATAGGAGCAAGGGGGAGTGTCTTTCTTGTTCTTTAAAAGGAAGTCCTTCCCACTGCAAATACTAACATGTTCCAACACTAACATGTTTCTGAGGACTCGGGTAGAAATAGTCAAGAGCCCATTATGAGAAAGAAGCTTGATGTTGGAGGACTACCTTCCAGGTCCCACATAATCAACTTGTTCTAAACCCACAGAGATGACAGGCTGACAAGGCTTTTAAGGTCATCTCTTTCAAACCTCTCCCTGTGAGGGAATGTCCTTCCCATCATTCTTACTGACTGGCTGTGAAGCCTCATGGACTCTCAAAGCAGCCCATCCCAGCTTTATGTCTAACAGAATGAAACGCTGCCTGGGCCCATGCCAGCTTCCCATGGTTGGGACATCGCAGTCCGTTTTGGAGGCCTGAGTCAGGTCGTCTTATGAGGGTTTCTCCTCATTTCTGCTGACCCTTTACTTTTCCAAACATGACGTCCTTTTCTAGAGTCTTTCTTGATGTGTCCAGATATCGTTCCTTCTAAGGAACATCCTGATTGTATTTCTTCTAACACTGTTCATTCTGACAGTCTACAGTATAGTCAATATTCCTTGTCAACACCACATTGTGAAGTCATCAATTCTTCTTCTGTCTTCTTTCTTCATTGTTCAGCTTTCATATGCATACGCAGCTACTGAGAAGACCGTGGCTCAGGTCAGGTGCGGCTTCATCATCAAGTGACAGCTTTGTTTTTTCAGAGGTTCAGGTTAGACCTTAGCTAACGACACTCTGTCTTGTCAGTCTTCTTTCCCATCATTTCACATTCATCTGCTTGTCAAGAGGAGGGTGGCAGTCCAGCAGTGCTGTCCTCAGAGGAGTGCTGGGAGACTGACACAGGCACTAAGGTGCTCCCTAAACATCAGCAGCATCACAGGTGTCATATCCCTTCCTGGGTCACAAAGGCAGTAATTTTTGTCTCTCTTAAAATGTTTGACCTTGTAGTTCACACTGACTGGACGATAAAGCTGTGTAAGTCAATCTTTTCTTCTGACTCCCTAAACATTATTATAGACCTGGTTTCCTGGCATTCTTCCTCTCTAATGCCTTGGTTTACTAAGATTCTCTTCTAGGTTCCTCGCTAATGCTGCCCATCCATTTGGGAGACAGTATCAACCACATCCTAGAAACCTGTCTCTTGAATGTGCGATTCCACGTGGAAGGCTGTGGTGGTAACTTCTCTTTCTGACTCTGGGAAACCTCTAATTAGAACTAACATTCCGAATTGTACAGGAGACCACTGTGGATTGCTGCCAGTCTCCTCCCAAACGAGCCCCAACGTGTGGCTTCCTCTGAAGGAGGCAGTCAGGTGATGAGGCTCCTGCGAATCCAGGTACCCAGCCCTCTGCCTTTTCCCCACACACCATGCTGTCTTCCTAGTGTGCCCTGGAGGGCGACCATGAGGCATTAAAAGCAATCACTTAGGAAACACCTGTGATTCAGGGACTGCATTAGATATTGGACCTTATGACAAAGGTTCTCAACCAGGTCCACCCCCACCCATGGGATCAACTGGAAATTTGTGAGATGTTTTTGGTTGCCATCATAATTGGGGCCAAGGACACTATATATCCTGCAATGTGTGGCCAGTTTTTCTGAAAGGTGGATCTAGAACCAGTGACACAGAAGAACAGGGAGGCAGCTTCTAGAAAGTTTCTAGAAAAACCTCCCTGACATTAAGGGTTGTTAACAAGGGAAAGGTATCAAGTAATTTTAGTCTTCTCAAAATGTCTGACCTTGTAGTCCACACTGACTGGAAAACAGACCTGTGCAAATCAATCATTGTCGGTACAGTGAGTTTAAGTTTAGACAGACACCCATTATCCAGGGTCCTGAAGTGGGGATGTCCCTTTTTGCTACAAGAATCTGAAACTCAATAGGGCTATTCTGGCCAAGCAGCAACCCATTCAATAGGCAACAACACATGTGTAAAAACAGAGCCCCAAGTTTCGGTTCTCTTTTCTAATTGCTAACATGCTGATTCCTGCAGATCTGGCAGCTAATTTGCTGCTGAACTTGGCCAAGGCTTCAGCAACAAAGGCTGTCGAGGAGGCTGTCAGAGGATACTTTTTAAAAACGTTGAAACCATAGAACTGCTAACTTTATGACTAAAAACGTCCCTGCCATCTCCAAGAAGAGAGGGCATCAACAAATTCAACAAGGTCACCGTGGTGAAGCTAGGCAGTCCCTTCTCTGTGTCTCTATTTCAGTCCCAGTCACATCATGCTATGTCATCTTAGTCACATGGGTACGGCTGTGCATGACACAGTTGGGCACAGCTGTTATCGTCTGTGGGACAGGTATTTGCTAGGTACACTCACAAATACTGCGTTACCTGATTTGTCCAGGATGAGCATGTAGGGCGAGAAATGATTCCAAAGTCCCCAAATCACCTTGACATTCCTTCCAAAGTAGGACCTGGGGCTAATGGATCAACCATCTTAACCAGTCACACTGTATCTGGACACATAGGCTTAGCATAAGACTAACGACCTCTGTCCAGTGGGTTCGATTTCTCAAAGCTGCTTCACGACTATTATTTTGTTCCATTCTGACAACCCTGTGCAGTAGGCAGGACATGGCTGTCTCCATGTCACAGATGAGAAAACTGAAGCCCAGAAGTGATATACCTACCAGGCAGTAAAGTCAGAATTGGAACCTGGATCCTCTCACTCCCAATCTTGTTGGTTTCTGACCTCTTTTCACTGCACACGTGTGTGTCACAAGTGTGCACTATAACTGTGACCCACCTGCTGGTCCTGCAGCTTGACTCCCACGACTCTGAAGGTGTTGCTGGCAGTGTTGTGGTAGATGTTGATGCGGCTGAATCCCTGCTGGCCAGGTTTGATTGGTATCCATTTCTTACTGGTGTCATCGTAGACCATCACAGACGCCCGAGCTTGGCAGATGCTCTGTTCGCTGCAGAGCAAGAGAGAATTTAAGCATCAGCTCAGGAACAACGGATGGAAGCCAGCTGTGCCATGTTCTGAAACAGAGGCCAACAGCTACTTGACATAAGGACACATCCTATCTGCCCGAGTTTCCAACCATCTATGGAAGGGCTGCCCTGGGGGTTAGAGAGGAGACTCTGTGCCCGAAATTTCCACAGCCTGGAATGATTCTTTGCCTTCAGGGCACAGGCAATGAGATGAGAGAGGAACTACAGTGAGAACCTGTCAACTGTCTACAATGTTCTAGGTGTTATGTTAAATAAGACACTGCATTAAAGCACTTACGCTTTACAGGTGAGGAAGCATGGATTTATTACCTCCATTCTGCAGAGGAGAAAAGCATGGCTGAGACCTGGAAGAGTTATACATGTTCCCACAGGTGTCCAGTAACTGAATGTGAAAATTTCAACCAGTTCTGTTTGATTCTAAAGGACAGGACATGGATAATATTCTTTGCAATGGCTCAATTTATGGTATTATGATGGGGTAGCATCATATGTTCACTGCCCAGCTCTCACATGCATACGAGGCGACTGAAAAACAACGGCTTGGATCAGGCACACCATAGTCCTCAAAGTGACATCTTTGCTCTTCAACACCCCAAAGAGGTCTTTGGCAGCAGATAAGGAAGACTACGGAAGAACGGATGCACTTGAATTATGGTGTTGGTGAAGCACATTCAATGTGCCGTGGGCTGCCAGAAGAATGAACAAATCCGTCTTGGATGAAGTACAGCCAGGATGCTCCTCCGAAGCGAGCATGGTGAGACTCGGTCTCACCTGCTTTGGTCCTGTTGTCAGAAGGGACCGGACCCTGGAGAAGGACCTCATGCTTGGTAAAGTGGAGGGTCAGCGAAAAATGGGAAGGCCCTCAGTGAGAGGGACCGACACAGTGGCTGCAGCAGCAGGGGCTAAGCACAGTGACGACTGTGAGGCTGGTGCGGACCGGGCAGTGTCTCGTTGTCAGTGTCTCACTGTGTTGCACATGGGGTCGCTATGAATTACAACCGACCTGATGGCACCTAACAGCAACAGCAACATCGTATATGGCATGCAGACACTACAACGACTCGGTGACCTTTTGAAGAACAGAGTGATAGAAATCAAAATGAAAAGATGACTGAACCCACTTTGCTGAAGACACTTTCCTAGCAAGCTCGTCTGCTGAGAAGGTGACAGAAAACCAGGACAGCAGCAGAAGCAGGAGCAGGGGGAGAGACGAAACCATCACCAAAATCCATGCACAGCAGCTCCTGCCACTCTACCCAGAGGAAGCCTCTCAGAGCTCCTGGACTCTTGATTTCTGTCTAAGTCTAACAATCTTGAACAGCTACTCCTTTCTCAGTAGCTACAATATTAGAATCCCCAAACTACAAAGAGAAGATGTGGCTGTTAGAAGCAGGCACCTGCCACCAGTGAGAAAGGGGGGCTGTATAAATGCAACCGAGGAACTGGAAACACATCAGAAGGCCAACAATTCGAGGCCAACTGATACAGAAGCAGACAGTGCCATCACCCTTAGGTCCTGTGTCATTACTGTATAATACGGATCATCAGTGAAGAGGCTTGGTGAGCTGACAAACAGGCACGTAGTGTTCCCCTTACCATACTCTTCAGGACAAAGTATCTGACAAAGATTCTGCCCCACCCCCCAGGGGTTGCTCTGTTACAAAATGGTGGTTCTAAAAAGAATTAGTCCTCAGTGGCTTGGAAACCTTGGTTCAGGACACGCAGCCAGTCCCTAAGCATTGCAGAGGGCTGAACTTCCCTCTTATTCGGAGACTGTGATGAGCTGGTATATAGATTACGGGGCAGTCCCCGATTTATGGCGTGGTGTTCCGATGAGCCCGTCGTAAGTTGGTTCCGATGTAAGTCTAGTACCTCATTTTTCTTTTTAGTTCCATTACTACTGCTTTCTGTTATCAGTATCTTTACAAATCGATCTTTGTCTTTAGGGGCTGGAAACACTACATACATACTTAGAGACATGATGCCATCAGCAAATTATACACGGCAGCGTTGTATGTAGTACATGTCACCCACGATGAGATGTAAGGAAGAAAAGGACAGAAGTAAGTGTGGTTTGTATTACGCAGATCCACCTGTATTATCACTTTGATGGTGGTTCTGCACACAAGACACGTACAATGCCATTCCACACAGTCTCTCATTTCACTGTGAGGGAATTCTTACTCAGATCTGACAGTTGTTAAATACCACAGCTGGGTTTCAAACCCACTCCCGATACCTAACCGGCTGATCCCTCTGCTCTGGCCTGGGGTTAGGAGTCTGGGGGACGCTCGACATTAGTTGGCATCCAGGCCTGGTGTTGTGGACTCTGGGCATGTCTGCAGACAGGTGTGCCTGAGTGAATTAGAAGGGTGGTGTTTTCAGCAGGGTCTGCAGACTGCAGCTTTTTTCAATCCATCATTCATTAATAAATGCTGATGGGGAAATCAAGAACAAGCAAAACAGGCCTGGCTCTGAGATGACAATATGGCTCTCACAGATGACAACACGGCTCTCAGAAATGACAACACGGCACTCATAGAAAATAACCATACCATACCATGCTGCCAGGGAGAAAGGCCAAACATTTACAAAAAGGCACTACCTTTCCCTTCTGTGTGTTCCTGGGGCTGAAACAATGCATCTTTTAAGAGATGTTGCTCTGCCCTCGCTAATACTTGGTGTCCTGGTCTCATGAAGTCTCAGGCACCAAACAAAACTAAACCCACTGCCCTCAAGTTTGATTCTGACTCATGGTGAACCCCACTGAGTTTCCAAGGCTGTAAATCTTTATGGAAGAAAATTGCCTCGTCTTTCTTCCATGGAGCAGCTGGTGGGTTTGAACCACCAACCTTTTGGTTAGCAACCAAATGCCTTAACCCCTGCACCACCAGAGCTCCTGGAAGTCTAATACAAGTTCAAGTAAACTATACATTGGGTAGCTCTTGGGTCAAATCATAGTTCTGCTGCAATGGAAATTAACCACAAATAGAGTTACGCATTTAGTTTTGTCACTTATTGCTGCTGACACACTTAGCTACTGTGATGCTGGGCAAGCAGGTGTGCCAGACACTGTCTTTGGGGCTGGCCGAGATCCTGAGGTATAGCATGGTACTAGCTCACAAAACAGGCACTCTAGTAAGTCATAGGGATCTGGGGTGAAACCCCAGCTCTGCTTGTTGGCATGGGATCAGCTCTAGGGCAGTACATTCAAGAAGGGACCGTTTGACATGGCACCACTTTCTGGAATCTTGCCTTCAAAAGGACCTGTTGTGAGAGCATTAGTGGCCACATGGCCCTGGCGGCTGTGTTTGAACCGAGGTTATATTTCCCTGGCTGCTCTAGCTGCAACTGACGGTGGCGGAGGCACCTGAACCGGCCCAACTGGGTCCAACACGGAGCTCTGCCGTTGGAAACCCCTGCTCAGGTATCCCCATCAGTGGCCCAAGCTTTCTCAGTGCTGCACTGTCTCTGAGATGCTTCCTGCTCACCCTTTTTTTGCCCCATCCTTTCACAGGTGTCAGACCCGTATCAATCAGTCTTGGCAGAAGTGCACTAGAATGATCTTAGAAGTGAGGATGGTGAGACTTTGTCTCATCTCACTACCTTGGACACATTCATCAGGAAGGACCCATCACTGGAGAAGGACATCATGGAGAAAGACATTCATAAAATAGAAGGTCAGCACAAAAGGGAAACCTTCAGTGGGATGGACCAACACAACAGCATCAACAGGGGACTCAAACACACCTACTATTGCGAGGGTGGTGTAGGACTGGCCAACACGTCATTCATAAGGTCCCCATTAGTCAGAGGCAACCTGACGGCACTCCACCTCCACCACCCCCACCACCGCTAGCACCAGTAGCTCCTTCTCCACCAGTACCACCAGCACCTCCACTTTTACCACCACCAGCACCCCCCCCACTTCCACTATCACCACCACCACCACCTCCACCCTCCCACTTTCACTACCAGCAGCACCTCCACCACCACCATTACCCTCCCCCCACCTTTCACCACCACCACCACCTCCACTACCACTACCACCACCACCACCACCACCATAGAATGGCATCGTGGACTGAGGCCCTCCCTGCTTGGTCCCACTCCTCCCCCCTTACCCTGCACTGACCTTTCCTCTAATAAATCTTTTACATTATAATCTGGTCTTGACTTCTGCTTCTTGAAAGAACCAAACTGACATACCATGCAGGTCCCATGAGGGAGAAGTTGCATTCTCTGTCATGCTTCCAGAATCTGGCACATAGTAGGTACCTAATTGTGGTTTAGTAAATTACCTGGTATGGCTTTTCTAGCCATAAGTCTTTGTAAACTCCATGGTGGAATTTGCCATGAGCAACTGAGGAGCTACTGATCATTCAAGTTATCCACCTGGGGTATTTCTGTTGAGAGTGGCACAAAGCAATGTTCTGGGAAGTTCGGTCTCTGTCAGGTGTTTAGAATTCTGATGTTATGATTGGTTAGTTTGGCCACTATGCCAGCTTCAAAAGGAGCCCTCCTAGAGGCAGAAGGAGTCACTTTGACCGCTGGCTGAGAAGGATGTGCTGCTGAGAGAAATGTGCTCCTGAAAGACACGAGCTGCTAAGAGAGAGACACCGAGAGACACGCACTGCTGGGAGAGAGACTGAGAGAGACTGTTGGCTGAGAGATGAGAGATGGCAGGCTGGGAGACGGAGCGCTGTTCCTGAACTTGAATTGTAGCCTGGTGCTTCCCTAATAAACCCCATAATCTATGAGTTCTGTGTGGCCACTGCAGCGAATTACTGAACCCAGCAGAAAGGTGGTGGGTGCTGCGGGAGGAACGGTTGGTGTCAGGGTTGATGAAAGGGCTGGAGAGAGGCGGCATGTCTGGCCTCACAGGAATAGGCCTTGGGCTATATTGATGATGATTTTGTCTTCCTC